CCCACCTCCCCTTGAACGAAGAGAAATTCGTAGTGACATTACAACATCTTCCAGGGAAGTGACTACGATTCCCTACGGCGGAGCAATTAGCCCCCGTCAACTATACCTAGGCCCTACGTCTGTGCCCCATAGTTGTTGAATCCTTACCTTCTCGGTGTTGTTCCTTGCAATAATATATCTGTACCAAGCAATCACCAGTGCTAAAGCAACAAAACATAGAATCGCTGAACCGACGAGTGCAATGGAGCATCCTATCACAATGGCCATCGTTTTCCATGATGACAGGATGTACTGAAATGGAACTTTCTAACCATCATCTACTCAACTATCTTTTTTAGAGTAGGTGTCAGATCAGGAGACGTATGCATCGCTCCTCATTCCCCGACAAGTTAGGGACAATTTGGGGATGATAGCTGCCCCGAAATTACACTCGGGAGGCGACGTCTGCCAAAATAGCCGCCGAAGGGTTTTCAACATTGGGAAATATCATGGTCATGGAGTGGTTTCCAATTTCGTTGATCGCGTCGTGTTCGGGTGAATTCCTGAGGCTCCGGTGGCGAGGTGGCCAGGGCGAACTAAGAGTTGTATGATAATCTGCGCCCTTTCCAAATGAAGCCATTATTCCTATGTCCCATTTACTTCTATTCAAGAGAGCTGTTGCAATGAAATTCCAGCGATATGCAGCCACGGCCGACGAAATCGGGAGCCTGCAATCACGCCCCTACACGGCCGAATCAACGAGTGTGGTGCAGTAGGAACGAAATTGTCGCGTCGCGGCGAGACACGTCGCGCTCGAAGGAATGTAGCAGGATGCAGCAACAAGTAAGAAATACAGGAACAAAAGGAATAACAGTAAAATCAATCCAAAAGTAATAATGGCATAGCGACTGAGCTGTATGAAGAACACTAGAGCAATCATAATGAGGCAAATGGTCCGCGACAGCCGCGTGCGGCGGATCGATTACACAAAACCGTTCCTACTGCCCGTCTCTCCGGATCAACCACTCATCCTCACGCCCCCTCTCATCAAGATGCTAACACAGAACATTTCTTGCTCCCGATAAAATGCCCCACATAGCCCTACCAGTTCCCTACTTTGGCCTACGAAACACCAAAATAGAACCAGCAAACTACCCGAACGTACCTCATTATAGAACAAGACACCGATAAGTACCGCATGTACAAGTGCGTAGGTTGCAGCGATCGTCAAGAATATTGCATTTATAATGACGGTATCCAAAATTCTACATCGCATAGTAATCAATAGCAGAATAATTGTAAACAACCATGATGCCGATATTCCAGCATAGATAATAGTTGACAAATGAATTAGTTCAAGAATGTTAAGATTGTTACCCTGAAAACAGCAATCTACTGAGTTTCGATATATGTATACGTGTATGGAAAACTGTACCAAAATGTCCAGGTAAATAGTTTTGTATGGCAGTTGTTCCGTATTTTTACTGCAGTTGATGCTGGGTATGATATCATCAGACGTTGCAGTGTTTTGATTATTCTGGAAAGATATTTGTGTATACTTCTCCGCTCAAAAGGTATCTATAGGCTATAATTAATCACTATTAGTTTTCGTTTTTCTATATAACGAGTCATTTTATGAGTTCCTTAAAAGGTATAGTTCACGATAAAAATGGTTTCCGAGATTCCCTGCCCGATAGAATGAATCTATGGCCCTCAAGAATAGTGACTGGGCGTGAAAAGCGCTCTAAAACTGGTTAAGCCTGCGCAGACACACAAAAAGGACGTGTTGTCCTGGGCCTTGCGATAACTACACTGTTCACATGACGAGACGAATAGTACACTTAAGTGAGAGGCACCCAAACGGTCATGCTGTACGACACCATTCCTTGGTACTTTTTTGAAGTCCTATATTTTTAAAAAATCCAAAAAAAATAAAATCGCGCTTTTTTCACCACTCTTGCACTATTCTGCGCAATGGCTTCCATTATTTCACTTAAACAGACACCTTGAAATTACCGTGAAGTCATATATGTACTGTAAGGGTTTTGGTTGACGTTACAAGAAAAGTAAGGGCCTAGGGCAAGAAAGGAATCATCTAGTGAGATACTGCTCCAGCGAGACCAGATAGACCGTCGAAACGCATACCCTTTGACGTAGTTGGGTTGGTGGGGGTTCTTCCAACGCCGTGGCGCGCAGCACTCGACACTCTTGATGTGAAGGGAAGATTCAAATATCCAGTGGAAGATTACGGTGATTGCACCACTGCCCACGTGTCGTGGGAGGGGGACGGCCAAGTCGTGCGTCCGAGGATGCGCGCGGCAAATTGCGCGGCGAAACCCATACCTATTCTGACGACTTTAGCGCCTATTATTTGGGGCCCAATTTCGAAGTACAGTAGAATAGTAGGATCAGCTAACCTTACTAATCTACCTTACTTCAGATTTGGGCCCCAGTGATAGGCGCCGGAGTCGTCCAA